AGGAGGACGAGGTGGGATTTTCAGCTCAATATCCACAATACGACCATACTGTAGATAGAAATTAAAAAATGTATATATCAGACAGCTCTATTAAAAGCACCAATTCACAAAATCACAGCCTATGCCAGAGATAACATGATCCATGAAATTATTCTATATGTTCATTAGAAGGAGTTGAGCAATAAGGTACCTTATTCTAAATAAACTGAATGACTAAATGAATAATATATTTTGAGTACTTAAAATAGTTCACTACACAATGTTGTTCCCAGCTATCTGAGGTCTTGGGAGGGGTGGACCGGATATGGACCTAACTATTGGCTTTTTTGAGCACAAAGTGCCCACTCTCAGTTTCAAACCCATGTTCTTGTGCTAAGATATCATCTAGTTGGAAAGTTCAATTAAAAGATATTATGCAATCAAGAATCTCAATTATCAAAAAATAATAATAATATGCAATCAGGAAGGCTACTAGATTTAGCTGGTTCATTTGGGAGTAAAGAAGGAATCAATAAACATTGGTAGACTGCAACAGCTGTAAATGCATTTTACAGAAATCAATAATTCATGCAGGGGGCAGTGCCACCTTTTTTGATCAGTGAACATGATCTATTAATGGAACAGAAACTTTTGCCTTCAGCAAAGAAGTGGCATACTTCACTATCAGTTTTTTTGGACTGGTCATGCTTCATCATGAGATTCAACTGGAAATCACATTGTTTAATCAAATGAGGAAGAATTATAAAAGATTCCTCTTGTGAGCACACTGGTTTTCTTGCAAAATTTTGCCTTTGTTCCATGTTATGCAGTTGTTAACTATGAAAGTATTAACAACAACAATGGAGTTAAGTGCTGTTAAGTGCTGCTGATCTTGAGGCAGGGGAAGATAGTGCTATTTAAGAAATTGAATTGTCAACAATAGAAAGTGAAAGCATTTCTTCAGAGGAGGAGGATGCTAAATGATGAGAAGGATTCTAGAAAAAATAAGAATCGCGTTGAGGGTGAGGATTTTTTTGACTCGGGAAGTTTTGTTGAAATTGTAGAATGGAGATTGGGCAGAGAAGAGGTCTGAAGCGAGGATGGAATGGTGAAAGAGGATAGAGTAAAAAGTAAATTACCTTTGAACCCAAAAATATCAGAAGGAAGAAATTCAGGGCATCTGGTACATGTGACTAAGGTTTCTCTGAATTGAAATATGGGGTCTCGGGAGCAGGGCCTTGTCATAACTTCAAGAGACTGCATAATGATGAGATCCTTAATCAAACAAGGCCGGTTGAGAAGAAAATTGATATGGAAGAAGTGGTAGGAGAAGATGTTTGAGCTAGTAAAATTATGGGTCTTTTCTTTTTGGGTGGGGAAGAATTTGTCAAGGTGATCCTTAAGAACTATTTTCACAGATCAGCATTCATCAAGTGCAAAACAACAAAAAGGCATAGCTAAGCAGAAAACGAGAAATATGACAAGCATCATGAATTCTGCATGAAAATCTAGGGGTCGTTTGGCAAGTCTTTTTTGAAAGATCTTATGGAAGATCTAATAGTCAAAAAACGATGTGAGCTTTTACATCAAGATCTTAGCAGCTTGAAGACTGTTTGGTTAAGGTGTGTCTTTCCGTGTGAAGACAAGTTGAAAAAAAGGTGAAAAGCTCCATTAGCTTCCCAGAAATAACCCAAAACGGGCTTCCCGTGTCTTTTCGGGGCTGTGGGCTTCTAAAAAGCCGAAAGCCCACGTGAAAAGACACGCCGAACAGGGAGGCTGTCAAGATATTAATGCAAAAGCTCACTACGTCTTTGAAATGTCAGAGATTCCAGAAGATCTTTCAAAAATGACTTGCCAAACGGCCCCTAAGTAATGCTATTGCATAAGTTTCCTCCAAGGCAGTATATTAATCAATGTGAGTGAAAATAAGGAAACATATTAATGATCCTTCAAGCAATATTGAAGAAGTAACTAACCAAACCTTGTAGAAGAGATCTTCAATTTCCCACTCTTGAATATCTGAAGGTAGGTTGCCAACATAGATTGTGCGAGCAGAATGACCACTCATTTCTAATAATGTAGAGCTCAACCTCAACAAACACACTTTCCCGCACATGCAAAAAGGTGCATCGTAATCAAAATGTATTCCTCTGTTCAAAATCAAAGAATTCCAGAAGGTGGTGCTAACAATTCCTGAGCACTATGAAAATGTTCCACAAGACTGCAATTAAAGCAAAACCAAAACTATGAAGCAAACCAAGAGAGCAATCCTCGATGTGAGTGGTGCTCCGCAAGCTCCATTGCTCATATGCTCCAAGATGCTCCGCAGCTATAATAAATTTGAAATAAAATTTTGATATCCTCATCCACTCTTTGATTTTATGCAGAGGCGTAGAAGATCTCCTGAGCATGAGATCAAAATACATAAAACTCCACCCTGGTTTCTCCCACTCCCTCTCTACATCCCTATGTATGGTTGCAAAGCTTCTATTTGTCTCAGCGTCTTTCATCTACCATAAAGAAAGTGTCTGTGTTATTACACACCATAAAGGCAGAAAAAAGATCTATGTATTTACCTAAATAGCTTTCTTCAAACTGCATTGAAGAAAGCAGACCTGGGAAATATGCAATATATACTCTCAGTGTCCTGCTTTTTCTCTATGCAATAAACAACAAAGTTATAACCATTTTTTAATAAGCCAGCTTTATAGGAGATTAGTAGATGAGAAAGAGTGGTCGCCACAAAATTTCTACCTTGCCTATTTGCCTCATAAAGTTAGAACATGTTCTAAATTTAGACATAAAGAATGATCCATACAAACATAATAATAAACACTACATTTTCAATGCAATTTTTTCTAACCAAAAATGGAGGAAACTAAAAATTCCAAGAACTTGGCGCCCTGGAACTTATGCTTTTATTTCTGAAGCTTATCTTTCCCCTGTAATTTTATGTGGTGGCTGTTGGGGGTGGGAATTATGGAGAGTTATGGGTTGATCCTTCAAAATGAACTCCAAAAACAATGGTTCGCACAAAGTGCTAGCTCCTTGACAAAAGCCAAAGGTGAACACTGAACACAGGTAAAATGTGGTGCGATGAAAACTGAATCCCTCATAATTAAGCTACATGCTACTCTATACCAGTAATGGTTTTTAAAAATCTGAAACGAGTAGTCATACAAGAAAGCAGTCCAGATATCTACAATGTAACCACTGTACCATCCGCGCATGAAGTGGGAGAGGAGGAGAAGCACGTAAATTGGGAAAAAAAAGACGACGTCCTGTGGACCGAATAGCATCTAAAAACGAACAAATATATAAAATAAAAATAAAAATAACTAAAAAGTAACTGGAAGAAAGATAATGCAGGAAATACCGTACCAATATAATGCCCTGCTTTTCTTTTCGTTCACCGACAGTGATCCACGAAAACAGGTTTTCCAACAGTGAGGATAGTAGGGTTTATTTTCCGGATAATATAAGGGCATCAACCTCAGAAGAAGGCTTGAACAGTGGAAAACGGCGACTACCCGATATGCTTATCTCGATTCTAGACCGGAAGATATAATAATAAGCGAACAGCAATAGGGTGGTTTAAACGGGTTCAGTTTTATCTTCCTTTTTCTTCTTCTTATGTTCTCTAGAGCAAAAGAGAAGATGAAAAAAAATGTAAGGCAATCATTCTTGATTAATTTTTACAAGAGTACACTAAGCTAAGAGGAAATTATAAGTGATTTTTTAAAAAAGAATAGAGGCACACCTATTTTGCTTTTATAAAAACCAAAGGAAACTCAGCATTGATGCTGAAACAAAACTCTGTTCGGTGATACTTGAGGACCTTTACCATCAGCAAAGCAGGAGGAAGGGAGTAAAATAAAAGAAATAAAAAGGGGAAGAAGGAAGAGGAAAAGGGGAGAAAGGGACACGAAAAGAGAAAAAGAGAGAAATAAGAAAGAAAGCGGAACCCCTGCTCTCGTTTGATGGTGTATGCAGTAGTGAAGAAGAGAGGAATAAAGAAGAAAGAAGAAGAATGCCATGTTTTAAAAACTTAAAAGCTTTGTCTTTCTGTCATGCTTAATGACTGGGCGGGCAAACCATCAACCAACGGTTTTTAACCGCTTCTAAATTTTAACTATTTTTTATTTATTGTCAAAACAGGCCATCAGTTCGGATCGAACAATCAAACCATCGACCCAGACACCGGTGGCCATAACGGTTCTGGATCGTTCTTTAAACACACCCAAACATGGCCTTAAATACAATACTTCTTCGTTTAGGAAAGATACAAATGTGTTAATTTTTCTAAGTGCTTATTTTCGTTTAAGGAAAATAAGTGCTTATTTGGGCAAAAAACACACCATTAAGCACTAATTAGTGTTTGAGAAATAAGCCCGAAATAAGTACTTATTATTTAAACCCAAATTTTCAGCTTTCTTTAAGTGCTTATACAATAAGTCCTTATTAAAATTTTACTCTCAAAATTATCCATAGTAAATTATTAAAATACCAAATATATCATTTTACAAAGGGAATTTTATAAAGTAATTTTATGAAAAGCATTTTACGAAAGTAAAGTATTTTTAGGAAAATACTTTTACAAACTCACATTTATAAAAGTACTTTTACATGAAAGTAATTTTACAAAAATACTTTTATGAAAACATTTTTAAAAAATTACTTTTATAAAAGTACTTTTGTAAAAATACTTTATAAGAGCACTTTTATTAAAGTACTTTTCAAAAARTATTTTTATAAAAACACTTTTAGGAAAGCACTTTAAAAAAGCATTTTTACAAAAACACTATAAAAAGCACTTTTATAAAAATATTTTTATAGAAGTACTTTTATGATAGCACTTTTGTAAAAGCACTTCTATCAAAGTACTTTTATTCATTCACTTCGGATTGGATGCTTTGAAACAAGTGCTTATTCAAATAAGCACTTGTTTTTAAACACTTGTTTTGAACATAAACACTCCCAAACATGGCCTAAGTCAAACCGATTGCGAGCAAGAATTTATCTAAATCCAATTTCAATCATATCTCCTCAATACAAGTATAGCTTAATACAAGGACAAATAACCAACCAAAGACGAAGAAAACTAGAAAAGGTTAGTCAAAAGAAAATTCCATAGACAACATGCTAAAATGTAAACTATAAATACAGATTATTACTGATACAATTTGTGTACTTCCATAATACCACATCAAAATTCCCTAAGCCCCAAAAATCGTAATAGAAATATCCCAATTTCCTTACCACGTTGTCCCTGCATCCCTCTACATCTATTTCAACTTACATTTCTCATCAATCAGAATCTGGACAGGTTGCACTTGCACCCCCCCCCCCCAAACTACACGAGTATTCCATCTAACAAGTATTAATGTTCAGGGCAGTGCAGTATTTGCCAGGAGAAGAGCTAACAAAATAAAAGAAAAAAGATGCCGTGTATTTCATCATGGACTTCAGCAGCTTGGTGAATGAGCATGTAATGGCCCGTCATATCTGGTTTTAGTTTCAACTTTTAACTCTTTGATAGAACAAAACATAAGCTGCTGAGGTTTTGATCTCTTCCTCATTGACTGGAGAAACGTGACTATCATCAAAATGATACCATCTGTTATCTTCAATTAACTGCAGACTCAGATAAAGCATATCATTAGACATGGAATCACAATGTCTACTGAATGGTCAAAATTATGTCAAGCCGGTGACTTTGACTAGTCAAAATTGGCTTTGATGCACAGTTGCAATTACTTGCCAACAAAACACCTACTCATTCAGGTAATTAAGCAATTGGTTCTGTAGTCCAAGTTGTAAATAAGATATCTCTAATGATGCCACCACATAAGAGAAGAAAGGCTGTCTCAAGATCTAATCTTAGAAGAGATGAGTAAAATATGCTTGCAGACTATTTGAATCAAACTACCCTGCCTTTGAAAAAGAGTAAAAAGCAAATAGCAAGCATCTTACCTTAGCATAGGCAGAGTAGTGCCCTCCCCCCAGGCCACCATAGTGATTACTAATGGCATAGAGCTCATACACATGAGATTGAGGACCAGCATCCTTGCTCTTTACATATTTGCTTAAATCAAGACTATGAACAGGGAAATGTACAAAGGTATCAAGCTTGTTTTTCAGATATCGGCTGTATGAGAATCGTTTCAAGTGAACAACTAGAATGTCTGGCAGCCTCCACAAGTCAAGTTTCTTGGTAGCTTGCCTATGTTCCTTACAGCTAGGACAGTACCTGCATTGAGAAGCAAGAGATGATAAAGACAGATTTAGCTGACATTAAAATGACAATGCAACTTAAGATGTGAGAGAACTTACCACATGTCATCAGGGCCTAAAGGTTCCTCTTTCAAGAACGCCTCCAGGCATGAAAATAAAGAAATAGCTTCCTGCCGTGTCTTCTTCATGGTGAACCCAGTCTTGTATACCTCAGGAAGATCCTCAAGGTAGCTAGAATCATATAATTCGTTTTCCTTCTCAAACCAATCCAAAAGTACCTTTATAGATTGGCCAGGTTTAATAAGATAACCATCTCCAATGGGACTGCATTTCAAACCCTTTTCATCAGTCTCAAAGAGCTGAAAGAATGATTCCCCATAAGATGTATGTTCTAGTTCCATGTCGTCTGTGTGATTCTTAAGTTCAGATTGAGGACTGTAACTGTTCACTGGTCTATCAACATCAACTCCTGTAGCACAGCCATTTTCCCTGCTCGAATTGACAGAATTAACAGGAAAATATGCTTTTCTTCGCAACAATGGTTCAAGCATTTTACGAATAGCAATTTGAATATCAGCTTCTGTTTGTGCACCCTCAGGCAAACAAGTAACCAATGGTGCTCCAAAAAGCTTCCTGTCCCAACTGTTGAGCATCTCTGATGAACCTCTGGAGCAATAGATCCTTCCATCACTAATAAGCACAGAAGCACACACACAAAACATTTTGGGAGAGGGGTTGCAAAAAGAAAACAACTGGTGCAAAAAAAATTGCCTCCAATGAATAATTACTTGACATAATTAAGCTCATGCTTTGTGGAACCAAAATGTCTTCAGATACTTCCAAAAATGAAAAGGAAATATTTCACTAGCTAGGAACCTTTATTATTAACAAAGTCAAACACATTTGCACCCACACATGGAAGCTCATTTTTTTATATGGAAGAAAAAAAATCCTTGCTATGCAAAGGGACTTACTTTACTTTGCTCCTGTGAATTATCTCCAGCCTTGTCAATCCATCATGTTTTTTAGGAAATCGATAAGCTACAATATGCTCATCATCCTTTATCATAGATAATGGTTCGAAAGGCTTCTCCAAGTACCGGTATATTTGATGCTCGTAAACCTGGAAAAACATACTACTTAAGAAACTGTGGAACCCCCACTCCCCAGCTGAAACGAGTTTCTAAAACAATCAAAGAAATAATGTAATGTTACCTCAGCAAGCAATAAGCTTTCATCAACCTTTAAGCAGCATGCAGTACTCAAGGCCTGACTAAGATCTTTGTAGCAGCCATGTTTTGGCAATGTTACAGTGTAGGGTATGGGAAGAGCACGCCCATCACCATAGAACACAGTTACTGTCATTGTCCTTGTGACAGTTGAAGGTAATGGCAAAGATAAGTACATGAAGGGATCAAATGTCACTGAAACTTTTCTGCAAACTGGACATACTAATGTTGACTTGTATTGACCCTGGAAAATTGGGACCATTTTCATAATTTCAGCAACCAAATGATGGAATATCCTATCGAGTTTTTGAGAGAAAGAAAACCCCAAAATTACTCAAAAGAATCAGCTAAATGAAGCAGATCCTTTACTTAATGCAACAGGATAAGTATTTCTGGTGATCTAAATTGCAAATATTAGACCCATCACCAGGCTTGTCTCTTCAAAGAAATGAATCCTGAACATTTGTAACCTGGCAGATCAGGCTCTAACATTTGTGTCAATTGAGGGTTAACCCCCTGTCGTGCCTACTGAGCTGCTTGTCTGTAGCTAACTGACATGCGTAAATCATTGACCCTAAATATCCAATAGACTTGACTATATAAATATTTTAGCATTTTTATAACTATATAAATATTTTAACTTTCTATAACCAATATAACAAGCTTGCTGAGCATTACAATTATCAAATATCATTTCAAAAGGTGTCATAACCGATGGCAAATATTCCAAACAGGAAAATATTTGTTAAAAGTTTTCTGCTTAAGCTGCAATTTCAGCCATTATTGCACCAAAAATGGAACTTCCTCAAGAAAGATCACCTCTAGCAACACATAGCAACTTCATTATTCATAGGGCTGCAACTAAGAAGACCTATTTTTCATTGAAAAAAAAGGCATTCCCCATGTGAACTACTCAACCTGATTCAGGAGAAGAGAAAAAGGCAAGTTTGCAGTACAGGTTGGTTCAAGAATGGCCCCCTTATAGCTTACTGACTTTTCAGGTATTTAAATCTATTCATCAAAAAGTTGTTGATACCATAGAGAAGGGGGAAGACAACAATGGTAATAGATTATTAAATCAACCACTTACTTGGCAAACATCTACAATTATGGAATCATTTCGAGCTTTGTGATTTTGCCAACACTCCTTTGCAAATTCCTCATCTGGACGGCCATCTGCATCCTTCACTTCAATGTAGGGCTTCTGTTTGACACGATTTAAATCTTCATGCAGCCCATCCAATAGAAAAGCCAAAAGTTCCTGAAGAGAGAGAACTTTTAATACAAGACATTTCTTTTTCTAATGCCATTCATTCATTCTTCTTAAACAAGACATTTTTTACAAGATAAGCAATTATAATTAAAGTTATAAAATAGTTAACATGGATTTGTTTGGGCATGCCTCAAAGGGCTTGGAATAGAGGTGGCTCATAGAATTAGGAATGAAAGATATTCATTATCACATTAGCTATTTGGAATCATGTGATTTGGAAAGAAATAGAGGCTGAAAGTATGCCACGCTTGGGTTGTTGAGTGCTTCTGTGCTTTATATGTTAAGTTTGATTCTATTTTTGCATTTTCACTTTGAATATGTTTTTATGTTATGTTTATGTATTTTAAATTGAGCTAATAGGCTTTTTACAACATAAATATAGTTTAAAATTAAAATTTGCAATATTTAACTTATACATTTTTTGCAATTTTTTGTACGTCATGAATTTTTAAAAAATTATGCCTTGCTTCAAAAAGGCATGTGCCTTACCTTGCGCCTTGCACCTCAGGCACAAATTTCCCAATGTGCTTTTTTTGCACCTTGCACTTTTAAAGCACTACCTTAAACTTATTTTCATAGTTGTCAAGGCAAACACATAGCAGTTTTTGGGATCATCTTGTGCCTTGCCTTGGTATTTCCATATACAAGGTTTATAATTTGGGGTGTAATGCAGCTAAAACATAAAGGGCATCAAAAAAGCCTAAACTTCAACATAAAGAACCACAAAATAAGCTGTCACATCATATATATTTCTTTTTAATCCTCTGTAATCAAGCCTCTACCAGTATTTTTAAAAGTGTAAAGCACAAAAAAAGTGCAAGGGGCATTTTACGCCCAAGGCTCGAGGTGTGTGCCTTTCAAAGGCACAAAAATGCCAAAAATGGCTAAATATTCAAGCATGTAAAAATCTCAATCTCTTTGAACCAGCCCCCCAAGGCAAGCCCAAACAAGTCCATTTTAGTGTCTCAAATTGTTAATCCCTATAAAAAAAGATTTCATAATTTGGATTGTCTTTTAAAAATATTTTTTATTAGGATGAATGAACGAGCAACATTAGAAAATGGGGGTTTTTTGGAGATAATAAAAACTTCATTGTTTTTAAGAAAACTTATTGCTAATAAAACATTATTGCCATTTAAGAAAACTTCCAGTTTTTTTAAAGAAAGGCAAACAAGAAATCAGTCATTCATTAATTGTAAATAGAATATACAACGGATTATACAAGCAGTGGAGAGCATATACAAATATAATTCCCCCTTTGTTCACATTACATAACAGCCCAGAAAAATTGATTCCCAAGTGTCCCTTGCTTTGCTAATGCAACAGCCATATTATTGGCTGATCTCTGAAGCCATTGAACCTGGCATTTACATACCCCTGGTTACTACCACTTTCGAATTTCCCTCTATGATCAGCTTGTTGATGTTTAACTAGCTAAATATTACCTTAGAACAATGTTTTAAACACGGAGGTGTGGCACAAGTCATTACACTACCTGGAGGTGTGAGGCATAGTTAAAAACATAAGAGGTATCAGCTATTCAGCTTCCCGAACACAAGGAGGTGTAGGGGATGAGGAGGAAGGAGAGAGAGGAGGAGGAAGTAGAGGAAGGAGGATCTCATCTTGTTTCTTTATGAAAGAAGAAGATGTCTAATGTCAAGAAGAATGAAGATGCAAACACTAGCTAAAAGGAAGAATCTTATATTAATAAAACCATCTCAATCAACTCTCTTGGAATTCCATCTAGGCCCTTTCAAATTATAACAAATTACCAACATGAGCCCAAGTTGCATCTTTAAATAGAAAAAAGCATGAAAATAAAAGAACAAAGGAGTTCTTTTAGGTCTTCTTCTAAGCAGTGGTGTACCGGCATGGTTTTGCGGTAAACAAGGGGGCCAAATCAAATAGTTAAGGTTGCATTGTTTCAAAACGAAGACTATTGAAGTACAATATTGCATCTTAATAGTGGCATCTTATTTTCTTAAAGAGCATCTTAAAAGCGGTTCCTCCCAGTTTTACCTTCACTAAAAAGAAAAAAGAAAAAACTCAAATCAAATAATGTAGGATCCGTAAAGTGGGTTATTAATTTATCATTTAGAAAAAAAAATTAATTTAATCTCGTAGATAAAATAACAAATATATATACCAAAAAATTATCAAATAAAATAACAACCTAAATTTACAACATAAAAAATGGTTTTCAAACAAAATTTATCAGAATACAAGAATAAAAAGTCAAAACAATGTCCAAAAGAGTGCTCAACAATCAAGAAACAATGTCCAAAAGAATAAGCAAATCTGAGATAGGGATGCTGAAATGGGTGAGCAGAAAGATTAAAATGGAAAGAATTAGAAACAAGTTCATAAGAGTAGGCTTAGGAGTAGCACTAATAGTGAGAGAATGTTCATTGAGATAGTTTTATTATGTGCATAGGCAAACAACAATTTTACCAGTGAAAAATGACTTGGTGCAAATTGAATGCTCTAAAACAGCATAGGAAACACTAATGAAAAGTGGGATGATGTGGTAAAAAACAATCTAAAGATTTACTATTTGACAGAAAACATGGTTTTCGTAGCAAGGTTTAAAATGTTGATATCAATGGAAATGCCGGTTACCAAAATATAGGACATATATCAGAATGTCAGATGCAAATATTGTAAAAAGTATAAACATTGTGAAAATATTGTGAAATATGTGGAAATATGCACTGATGTTTTGTGAAATGACAAAGAAGCATTAATACAACTATCCAGACTATTATCTTTTAATTTTATTTTAGACACAGTGTGTTAATTTTTTGGTAATTTATATGTTATCTTATGGACATGTTTACTTATTTGAATTATATATTGATTTATTTTGAATTTTAATTGAAAATAATAGTAAGTCATATAGCGTTTAATATTTTATTACTATGAAATAATATTCCATGTATGCATTTCTTTTATACTAATAATACTTAGTTTATTCTTTATTTTATTTAATTATAGCTTAATACAAGGTTATCTCATTTTTGTTTAAGTATAATTTTGATTTACTATAAATTTTAATCAATAATAAGAATAATATCATATATTCATATAAATAATTTAATATTTTTCTAATTATGAAGAAATATGTTATATATGCATATCTTTTTTTATTCTAATAGTTTAGTATTTTGTTTTTTGTTCAATATCTTTTTATGAATGTTTTATTCCAAATATTAATTTTAAATTATCAATGACTTATATACGTAACTTATTATTATATTACATATTAACATTTTTAATACATTTATATATATTAATATGTATTATCGATTGGCATTTTAATGAAGGTCTACCCTCATGTATTATAACATATTTTAATATACTAAAAAAGATTCCGTTTTAGGGGTGATCATTCTTAGCCCGGCCCAGCCTGCAAATTTCCGGGCTTCCGCCAGATTTTTGTGTACAACCCAGTCAGGGCTCGGGCCTGCATCAAGCCCAGAAAATTCAGGGTTGAGCTTGGGCTTCATACTTCAAGCCTAACCTAGGCCTGGCCTAGCCCGCAATATAAATATATATATATATATATATATATATAAGCTTTAAGTTTTGTTAAAAATAAATATTTATAACTTAGAACGTGTAAACACATGTGTCAACACTTGAGTCAATTCAAGTATAAGAATTGTGGGACTTGGAAGAACACTCAATGGTTATTGTTAGTGTCGACTGTATAGGGGTAGTTTAGTCTTTCTATTTATATTTAAGCTGATGTGTAATGTTTATGTCTCTTTTGATTTATTTAATAGAAACATATAAATATAGTGCAGGTCTATCGCCTGAACTTTATCATGGTATCAGAGCCATTGTGACAAAATCAGATCTGCCCAGAATTCTGTTCTATTGCCACATTCAGCCTAGGCTTTTACAGTTTTCTTCATCATCCATTGGAGATAGAGAAAAGGGCTAAAAAGGAGTGGTCGCCATTTCCCTTTGGAGATAGGAAAAAAGGGCTACTAGAGTGTATCAGCTTTATCAGGAGTACCATCCCCTCACTTCTGATGTTAAGATTCAGCAACAACAGAAAGAACAAGTAGATGAGACCAGATTTTTAGTAGGGCTGAAATCTGAATATGAACCAATGAGAGCACAGATACTAAGAGGGTCAGCTCTTCCGTCTCTAGAAGAGGTGTTTACCTGTCTTCAGAGGATTTCTATTGGGCCCACTGAGAATTCTAATATCTTTGACAGGTCTGCCTTTGTAGTGACAAGAGGGGGAGGCCATGGTGTTAAAGGTGGAGCTCGGGGAGTTCAGCCCGGTCGTAGTGGTAGCAATGGATCCATGAATGGTCATAGTGATGGTGGTGGACCCATGTATAGTAGTGGTGGTGGTGTTGTTGGAGGCTGAGATTCAGGGGGAGATCGTGGCAGAGGATGTAGTAATGGTCCGAGGAAGTGTACACATTGTAGTATGGAAGGGCACACCATTAACTTTTGTTATGATTTGCATGGCCCACCTTCAACTTGAGCAAATCATGCAGTGGCCAGTGATGGTAGTTCAAGACAGGATATCCAACAGATAATCAGATGCCCTCTACACATGATGAGTGTGAGTGATTTATCCAGGCCACCTCTCAACAGAATACAGCTACTCTTGCACATTCATGTATGACTTGTCTGGCATCCAAACCTACCTCTTGGATTATTGACTCTGGAGCTTCTGATAATATGATTGGGACTCCAGGTGTGTTTTCCTCCCTTTCACAGTGCTCCACATCACATTTTGTTACCCTTGCAAATGATTAATCCTCCATTTGTTGTGTTGGTAATGTTGACATAGACCCTTTATCCTGTCCTCGGTTTTGTATATTCCCAAATTCCCTTTTAATCTTATAATTGCTAGTAAGCTAACCAAGTCTTTTAATTGCTCTATCACCTTTTACCCCTCTTCTTGTGTTTTTCAGGATCTCAAGTCGGTGATGAAAATTTAAACATAAAGTTAATTAAAAAAAATAAACTTAAAATTTAAAATAGTGTTTTAAAAAACTATTATCCAAAATTAAAATACATAAACATAACATGTAAAGTGTATTCAAATGAAAATTTAAAAATAAAAGCAAACATATAAAGCATTTTCAAGTATGTAAAACCCACAATCTCTTTTTTTCTTAATTGCATTGCTTCATGTATCTAATGTGATGTAAAACATATTGCATTCATGATTCTATGAATCACCTTTGTACCACGCCCCTCGAGGCAAGCCCGAACAAGTTTGTGTTAGGGTTTGAAATTCTTATTTCTCACATAAAAAAATAATGATTTTATAACTTTCATTGCCTTTTAAGAAGATAATTTATTGCAATCAGCGAATGAACAACATTAGTAAGCTTCGATGAGCGAGTGAAGCGAGCGAACCAAGCACACACCTAGGTGCACTAGGCTTGCGCCTTTTGAAAGGGGTGCGCCTAGGACCTAGGTGAGGCGCATAGCCCAAAATGCGCCTCGCCTGTGCGCTTAGGCGCACCTTTTAAATCACTGGTTCCGTTTGTGTTTTGATAACTCTAGCTGCTATGTATGATTGGCCTCTTTTTCAACTTGACATCAAAAATGCCTTTTTACATGGTGATCTCCTTGGGGATGTCTATATGGAGCAACCGTCGGGGTTTGTTGCTCAAGTGGAGGATGACAAGGTGTGCAAATTAAAGGCTATTTATGGACTTAAACAATCCCCCTGTGTGTGGTTTGGTGGATTCAGTGAAGTGATAAAGAATTTTGGTATGAAACAGTGTCAAGTTGATCACTCAGTATTCAGCCATGATTCGCATCCTGGGAAGATCTTATTGGTGGTATATGTAGAGGATATTGTCATTACCGACAGCGATAGACTAGGGATTGATACGCTGAAGACCTTTCTACAAGAGCACTTTCAAACAAAGGATCTTGGTAAATTAAAATATTTCCTGGGGATAGAAGTAGCAAGGTCTAAGCACGGTATTAATTTGTGCCAGAGGAGGTATGTTCTTGATTTGTTGGAGGGGACAGGATTATTAGGTGCCAAACCGGCTGAAACACCTATGGAACCAAATACCAAGTTGAGCAGTGATATGGGTGAGGAGTTTGAAGATCCTGGAAAGTACAGGCGGTTGGTGGGTAAGCTAAACTACCTAACCATTACTCGGCTAGATATTTCATTTGATGTTAGTGTGGTAACTCAGTTTATACAAAAACCTCGGGTTCCACATTGGGATGCAGTTCTAAGGATAGTAAGGTATTTGAAGGGAGCTCCTGGTCGTGGCTTGATATACAAGAGTGGAGGAAATCTTGAAATAGAAGGATACACCGATGCTGATTGGGTTGGTTTTGTATTTGATAAGAAGGTCCACTACAAGTTATTGTACTTTTCTTGGGGGTAATTTGGTGACATGGAATATTAAGAAACAGACAGTTATGGCAAGAAGCAGTGCAGAAGCTAAATACAAAGCCATAGCACATACTCTTGTGCACTAGTGTGGTTGAAAAATCATCTACAAGAGATGGGATATTCGATTCACTCCAATGAAGCTTTATTGTGACAACCAAGTTGCAGTCCACATCTCTCCTAATCCAGTGTTTCATGAGAGAACAAAGTGCTTAATGGAGTGATAGATACTGCATATGCTAACACAAGAAGTCAATAGACAGACTTGTTCACCAAAGGGTTGAGTTAGGGAAGCGTGGACAACATATGTAACAAGTTGGGACTATATGATATATATTCTCCAGCTTGAGGGAAGTGTTAGTGTCGACTGTATAGGGATAGTTTAGTCTTTCTATTTATGTTTAAGTTGATGTGTAATGTTTATGTTAAGTGATGTGTCCCATACTTGAGTAGGGACATAATAGTCTTTTGTTTTATTTAATATTAACAGATAAATATAACCTGGCCGACTAGAGAGAGTAACTTTTCTCTCTTGTTCGAACCAGTTTTCTCCTTCTCCTTTCTTCTCTCTTCTATCTCCTCTAATTTTCCTCTAATACTATTTTTAACAAAATTCTAGTGCAAGTCTGAACTTTATCAATTGCACTAACTATATAGTGTTGTTCCAAATCCAACATTGCTCAAGAATAGGAATGAAGGTCTTCCCTTCATCTATAAAAGGATAAGTAACTCAAGAATAGGAATGAAAGTGTGTCAGTGGATCTTGACACCAACATAAGTCAGATGGCATTTCCAACATAAACCATGCTTGAAAGAGTAAAATGGTAGGATACAATTCATGTAGCCAGCCCCGAATGGTTGGGCTAAAAGGTTGAGTTTAATTTAGTTCAGTATATATGATGCCACATTCCATTTTCTTCAATAGAACGTGAGGTTTTTTATGCAGTTCATCAAAGGCAAGAAATCAAGCAAAAGAACATAGCCTTTGAGAAATGACCCTACTCGTGGATATGAGACTACACAGATTTATATAATTTCCCTGCGACATTAATGATAAAAAAAAAGGATTGGAAACTATTGTGACAACACTAACTTGAGAATCATGCTGGTTATATCCACTGAACTGGGGAGCAAAACGAGCGAGTTTCCCCTTAAAAGCACGTGGTGCAATTGGTGTCCGTCCAGAAGACCATAATTTTCTCAGCAATTCACCAAATGCAACTGCAAGCTCACCCTGCATCACAACAACAAAAATGGAAACATTACAAGATTCATCAAGGGGAAGAAATATGAACCAGAACATTTAAGTATATAAAAGTAAATCCCCACAAAGCTGAAAGTCGAAATAAGATACAAAAACCACATACATGCAGTCCTAAAGGATTTTGCTTGTTGATCTCCTCATTGTAATCCTGCAAGAAGTACTCAAGAAGTGGAGGTGTATGGACTAAACATTGAATAGCACTGTTCATAAAGCAAGTATTTCCCAGGTTTTGCAATCCTGCCAACCCTCCCTTTTCTCCTTTCATCATGGTGCTTGAAAGATCATTACCATCATCCACATCTGTTAAAACTGGGTTTAAACCATTCCCTTGAATCAAGTTTGAGCCATATCCTGTTGAATACCCATTTGATAGAGCAGGGCCACCTGCAATTGTAACAGTTGACCTTGAAGGTTCTAATGCAATCAAAGCTAATTCATTTCCCGTTGAATCCATACGAAATCCATGGGACAGAGACCCATCAAATTGCACTTCTAAAAGAATCTGCAGAAAAGACTGAATCAATGGACTGGTGAAAGAAAGAAAAATACTAACTAACCAAATTTTTTTATGTATATACAATAAACTTTAGAAATAAAATTTTGCAAGAGATCATGGTTCCCAAAACTAACAACTGATATGCGGGCAAAGTTCAAATAAAAGGAATAGGCACTAGTAACACCAATTCTATTATGAGGATGCATAGATCAAGCAATCATCATCATCATCTAAGCCTTGTCCTAACTATATGCCTAGATTAGTCAAGCATGCAGTTGAAAATAAAATTATATGCAAAAATACACTGTACTTGCTGCAAGTTAGCAATGTGAATTGCTCAAAGATGGTGGCAACAAAATACTTGCTTCTCAAGGAACAAGAGCAAAAACATAAAAATCATATAATGTACAAGATACTCACATCCTGGTCCATTTGCAAATTGGACTCCTCCAGGGTTTGGGTGGAAGCAGTCAATTTTGAACATTTTTGCCTATTGAAGTAATCCCATATGCAAACCTGTAGATATAAAAAGACATGAAGATTTTCATTCAGAGTTATAATAGTTTGAAACAAAAGACCTCAAGCAAAATAAACCTTCTACATGCCTTCTCCTGATCAAGCTTGTGAATTGTGCACACCCTGTTGTAAAGCTCGCATAGAGATGCCTGAAGATAAATTAATGAAGTGAGGTAAATATGCATCTGACATTATACAAAAAAGTTGAAAAGCTGAAGCTCATGACAAATCACAGATATGGCACAAGCTTCTGTCCAACAAATAGTAATGTAATAACCATCCACTAAAAAGTACTTTACTTGAAAGTTTAAGGTTAATTTTGAACTCAGAAATGAACAAGTGATTTCTACCAATGACACATAATCTTCCCAACTTCATCTAAACCAACATTAGTACCAGACAGAATTGCTTCACTCAAGCAAAGTTCTAATCATTAGAAATGATCCAAGTGAAAGATCAAGGTCTGAGTTTAGCACAAGGCTTTTATATTTAATATTTTTTTATAAGTGAAGTTAGATTTCATTAATTCTGAAAATATAATCATTACAAGCACCCCTTAGAGAGGCACGAAATGCTACCTCTCTATAAACAAAACAGAGAAATTACAAGTGAACCCAAAACAAAGATTGTCTATTCACCCCTTGCTTGGCAAGAGTATCAGCTAATCCGTTTGCCGATCTCCTCACCCATTGTATCCTCAAATTCTGAAGAAAACTGAAGAGAGGAGAGCTTGAGGGTTCAGCAATTTTAAGATATATTTGAATAATTACAAGGAGGCCCTTAGGTGGGTAAGAATTTACAAAGAACTTAACATAGACAGGATGGGCCCAGAATAAGGCCCATTACAGAAAAGAAACATAAATAACAAGAAAGAATAAACAACCTATAGGCCATTCGGCCCATCTTCTCTACACTCCCCCTCAAGCTGAGCATAGATGTCAATCATGCCAAGCTTGCTGGTATCATGCTGAAGTTTTGCCTTAGGAATGCCTTTGGTGAGAAAATCTGCCAACTGTCCTYCAGATGTGATGAAAGGAAGACACACTTCACCCGAAGAGATCCTTTCCCTAATGAAGTGTCGATCAACTTCAATATGCTTGGTTCTATCATGTTGCA